CAGGTGGCGCTTAATGCGTTTCCTTGGTTTCCACTGTAAACAAAGCAGCGCTGAACATACGAACTTGAATATGCATTATACAGAGGCAAGAGGAAAAGAAAAAATACCATCTAAACTTTTCTAAAGACAGTAAGTTCCCCTCAGACATACATTCATATAAACTCCTGCCCCTAATTGAATCAGATTTGTTTAGCATCTCAACCGATTTGAATCGTCACATATTTAAATCGATTTTCAACCGGCTCGCGGGTAATCGTTACATCCCTACCCCTTAGCTCTGCTCCTTTGTGTGACGCAGTGTTATTTTCCCATTTTCTTTTCTTCTGGTTTCCCTCCATATCATCCCTTTAGAAAGGTGCAGAGATGCTCCCTCCCGCTCTGTCTCTGTTTATGTCCATGACTGAATGGATGGAAGTGCTCCACTGCAGAAAGCATTGGTATTATTTTGTTTCAGGCTTAGTGATTGGGGAAATACACGTGAGACCAGATGGCATTTGGTTTTGGTTTTGGTTTAGATACCTTTTGGGTTGTGAGTGTAAAGCCATGCTGAACCAGTAAGAGTTCCACGGCAACCAACACAGGTGCTGCAGATATTCAGAGCGTGTTTTAGTCCTGTTGGCCCCAAGAGATTAATTTAGACCATTTCACACACACTGAAGTTTAACAAATCTGGAAAGCCCATGCAGGCTCAGTACACATGTGGATTGGAATACATTTTGGGGAAATTCATTTGAGTTTAAAATAATTGGCAGATTCGCCCAAAAAAAGAAAATTCTGTCATCATTAACTCACCCTCATGTCAGTCCAAACCCCCTGACTTACTTTTTTTTTCCCACGAAACATAAAAGTATTTCCTGGTCACGTATTTTCCATGTAATGAAAATGAATGAGGACAGGTGCTGTCAAGTTCCACAATTACAAAAAAGCACAAAGTATGATAAAAGTGATTCATATTCAAGTCTTCTGAAGCTGTACGATAGCTGTGTGTGTGAGGAACATAGTCTTGTGTAGCCAGACCTTCAGACTGACGGCAGAAGGTCTGGGAACCTTAGCCACTTTGAATGGCCAAGGCCCAACCAATCACATTTCGCTTTGGGCCGCGTCATGTTTAGGGGTGTGGAAATGTCCCCATAATAACAGACCAGTGTATAAAACTATTGGACGTATTGTAAAGAGTCTATGCCGCAAATGTTAAATATTTCACATACTTTTGAAAATCCAGCGTTTAGTTGAACCTGATAAGCATTCGTCGTCTCAGTTGTAAACACGACGGCTTTCTTTTTTCGTGAGGAGGTTTGGCATCACGGCATCTTTGTTTTTTTTATGTGGAACGTTAAAGAACGTGACACACGTCTCCTGGAAATCCTGTATAATGCAACCAATCCGATGATGACTTCGAAACTCCTGAAGTGTTTCCAATTTTGTGTGCGATATTCATCAGACGTTAAGCCAATGGTTAAGCCGAACAGAACTAGGGACGCATAATAAAAAACATTTAGATCTATTTTGACATTTAGATTACTTTTGGCATCATCTAACACTCACTTATATTGATGTTAATAATTAACGTATATTAATATTTTAATAACAGTTAAATGCAATTTATTTGAGCAAATCTCAATAAAATTTTCATACTGTAATTTATATTAACACGATGCTTAAATTAACTTTTGTCATAAATGTCAGAACTGCATTTTTGTCGCTAATCCCTAAAAATCATCCCCTGTGCTGTAGCTTTTAAATCAAACTTGGTGTCATGAAACACACTGAATTTTTTTAATTGTTCTGTGATCATCAAATGTTCAGATTTCAAACATAAAAGCCTACATTTTTTGAGTCTGATGCACTCAGCCTATTTATGCACAAGAATACTCTTTAATAAAAAAAATCTCCAGTTGTGGAACGATTTGAGGCAGGGGTGTCCAAACTACGGACAGACTCTTATATAATGAATGTAGACTTATAGGCCAATTTAATGTAATGTAAGGGAGTTATGAAATATAGGCCAAATTACAGACATTTTTGATGCAGTTTGTGCTTTCATGTGTTGTTAATAGATTAAATACCATAAAGCCATTCTATGTTATAATTATTAAAGCTTTAAAAACAAGATATTTGCAGATTTTTGTCCTCAACAAAACACAAGCTACTGCTACTGTCAACTCAACATCACACATACATAATATATATATATATATATGTAGAAGCATCCGGCCCCCCAGTGTTTCCACATCGTCGAATCTGGCCCCCTTTAGGAAAAGTTTGGACACCCCTGATTTGAGGTAATTGGAGAGAATTTTCATTTTTGGATGAGTTATTTTTTTTTTATCTGTGAACACAGAAACTCTTTCCTAACTATTTTTAAAACTCATTTGAGGCCTGGGCAGCCCATATCACACTAACTTTTTTCTTTTCAAGTGATGTGTGGTCTCAAAAGGCCACACTATTATGATTCTTTACTTCCTGATGTTTTTACTGGTACAGCACCTGCAGGATTCTGTCGGTGATGCTGTGTGCTGTGTGAAGCAGGCGTACCCGTGACCCAGACAATGACGAATCCACAGACAAGTTCTAATATTAGCCTACTCAGATTTCACTGGCAGGGTGAACGCAGATAAATCTGATTTTTTTAACATCATGCCTCAGTAGGCTTCACACTTATGAATATGAAATAAGGACCAAAATGTCTCTGAAAATGTCTTTTTTTTAATGCGTTTTAATAATAGAAGAGAGATTTTTTTTGTTGTTGTTGTTTCTCTGTTCATTAGTAAGCCACGATTCTGTCAGGTTTGTTTTTTCTTATGTTTCTTAATCTAAAAACTTTGTGTCACCTTCCTAATTAAGCCTTCCAATGCTTTTGCATTTAAAATGTTAATTAAAGATGAAAACAGGATGAAGGATGAAAACAATGCTGTGAGAAATAGAATTGGTCTTTACAATGGCATGCACTGTATAAAGTTTTTAGATCACATGTCATTCCAAGACTGTTTTAAAACAGTTGTTTACTGAAAGTCTTTCAGAAAGATGAAAGATGTTTGGTCAGCTGAACGATTGGTAAAGTATGTTGTTAAACAACAGTACAATCCATTGAGCATGCTGTACTTCTGTCCCTCACTGCGTCATTTGCATTTCATTTCTCAACAGGAGTACTGCGTTTTTAAGATGCTGTGTCAAGCTAAAAGCACTAACTTGGGTTGCACAGTATTTACATGGTACCATATAATTATCAGCCGATATTAGCAGTAATAATCTTTAATAATATAAAAACACTGTTAAATGTAACCTTTTTACTAGAATTTTTATATTGGTCATTAATCGGTTATTAGTGATAAAAATAATTATCAGCTTGTGTGTTTCAGCCAAAATTGTAATATTGGACCATTGCTAGTAATTACTTAGAAAAATGTGTTTTAGGCACCATTTGTTTGCAATAACACGTTCTTGAACAGATCTTTACTATTACTATTCTGAGCTCTTGGTAAGTGTGGTCCGGTGAGACGCATTGCCTGCAGTAGCACCTGGAGTTTTGGTGTCTCCTTATTACAGATTTTTTTTATGCACGAGTCAGAGTGCTTGATTGTCTGTGTTAGTTCTGAAATAATGATATTTTTTATAGCTAATCACACTAATGAATTCATTTTGTTTCTCTAAAACAAATAACTATCGATGTTTTCTTGCCTTCAAAATTCTGCCCCCTGCACACTGATGAAAATTTAAAAGCTGAATGCAGCAGCACTTCCGTTCACTCGTCTCATTTAAGCATCCTGACAAACACCTGTCATCTGCTTGGCTTCCTCTGACAGAGTTGTGTATTTTCCTGTTGCACGTCACAGACTAAGCTGGCAGTGGCCTGACCCGCGTTGGCTGTGACAGAAAAAGAGATGTGCTGAATTAATGATATGCTGGTTGCCGGGATGTTCCCGCTGTTCTCTGCGTAGGTCCTGTATTGGATTTTTTTTTTAAACCAATATATATCAAAGCAAACTTGGACTCATCCGTCCTCTTGACATTTGCATAAAAATAACTTTAAAAGAAGATGTGACGTTAAATAAAGCAAGACTTTGATCCAGCGACTGATCACAGAATAACTGCTATGAATCGGTATAGGTCAGTGCTGTGGCATTGTGTGATCTCTGTTGTGTATTGATGTCCAGTTTCAGTGTAACAGTCAGCGGTTGCCGACTTTTATCTCTGCATCATCCCCTGACACTCTATTAAAAACTCAATAGTCGGTGCGGTCTTTTAAATCAGCAGGGATGCTGGTGTGTGTTTTGTCTCTTTGCAGCTGTTGAAAACAGGCCCATGTGTAATGATACCTTTTGAAAAGTGAGCTTACGACAGTAAAAATTGATTTATTGGAAAAAATAAATGAGGACAATTGTTGTCACTTGTGTTTTGAGGCTAAACTGGAGTATCAACAAACAGATCGGTTGGGCTTCCTCAAACCACCAAGAAAATAACTGGATTTCAAATGAGAAAAAGGAATATTTTATATTCTGTATCTACATGTATGCTTGTATTTTTTAGGAAAACAAAACATTAAATGCGGTAGACTGGTCTGGACGCTCTTATTCATTGTTTGTTCATTCGTGTCTGGAATTCGCCTTCTAAATTTGAGCAACCACACTGATTTCCTTCAAACAGAGTATGAAATAGAAAAACTTCTAACTTGTTTGCCTGTGTGTGTGTGTGTGTGTGTGTGCATGTAAGAAAACTCGTTGGTGTTCCTTGAACTCCTGTGATAAGGACACTCAAAACCGAGACATTTTGAGAGAAAGAGAAACGAAGAACTTCTCGTTCTCTGATACACTTTTAAAGTTCTCACTGACACTGTATGTGTCATGCTGTATTGCATACTGTAGAAATGCCTAGTTTGACTTAAAGGGGTCATATTATGCGATTTCTCTTTGGAGTGTTACAAACTGATTGTGCATAGATAAGATCCCCGATCCTCCTCAGAGAGTAACAAATATGTGTCACAATCTGAAGAGAACTCAGAGCTTTCATCTGTGCTAAATGTGTCCTCTTGGTTTAAGGATATATTTCCACTCTCTCTTAAAGAACAAGCTGTGCTACACTCTGAAACTGATCTTGCAGAGGATGAACAATGTTGTAAGGGTTCTTGAAGTACAGGACTAGCGCAAATATCACTATATTTGTTTTTGGCCTGATTTTGGTGACAATTAGAAAGAATCTTGTTGGCTGCTCTCCAGCGTCTCATATATTCTCTCCTGCCAACTTGTCTTTTGTTTTCCATTCTTAAAGATAAGACATTCATGGAATTTTAATAGACCCATGTCATTGTTTAATAGAAAAGACTTAAGACTTAACAATGTAATCTTACCTCAATGCGAAAACAGCCTGTTGAGCAAAGAAAAAGAAACAATATCAGAATAATTTATTTATTCCAACACTAGAAAAGATGTTACACTTAAACCTCCTGAGACCAATCAAAATACTAATTTAGACTAGGCAGATTTTGTTGTTACATTATGTGCATAATGTGACCTGCTACACAGGCCTGGATTTGCCATTGTCAGCACCACAAACAAATGACTTTTGTAATAATGAATGTTTTTTTGATGTGTGAGGTTACAAATATTTGTTTTCTTTCACACGCATTTCCCAAAAAATTTTAACAGGAAAAAAATGCCGTACACACATATAGTGTGCCAATTTTAATCGGCATGTAAGACTCATTCTCTGCGTGTGTGAGAGAGAAACGCAGAGCGCTTTCCTCAGCCAATAATGCGCTCACTGCTCTATATAGACAGAGAGAAACTTAATCGTTCAGTCGGAGAGTTCAAATGTAGGCAAGTGAAAATGTATATGTGCTGAAATTTCTTTTACACGTTTAACAAAAACACTGGCGAGTTAAATTTTAACATTTATTGGCCAATGGCTAACCATAGATATTATTTGTCGTCTAGATTGAACATTAACTTGCGAGTACGCGCAGTCGCTGTCTGTTGTGCTGAAATGTCAAATCACTTTTCATAGCTTCATTATGGCTTATAACTTTTGGCGTAATGTTAAAACACTTTACACATTTACATGACCAGAATATGTTTAATGCTTTTTCCTAAATATCAGTAACTATATCTGAATACTGAAAGAAATATAGTTAGCAGTAGCCTACACCAAACCCGATCGCAAACTAACACTCGGTATGTGAATTATCAGCTATTCTGTCCATTCAGTTTATTAACAGAACAAATAAATCTCACATTGGACACGAAAATTGTAGGGTTTGTTTGGATATTTACATATCTTATTTATCTAAAAGAGAAATCATAAGCAATACTCACGTATCCTGGCTTGAAGAAGAATAACGGCCCAACGGTCTGTTAAAATTTAAAATGCGCTTCGGAACAGTGACGAGTACATGTCGTCCAGTGGTTGTCCAGACAGGCTAAGCACAACCTTCAGCAATGGCCCTGAACCGTGATTGAATGGCAACATTGTGACAACGCAGTAACAACCTCAACGACACAACGTAGAACCAACAACCTTTTAGCTATGTTGTTGCAACGTTGCTAAAAGGTTGGCTACGTTGAGGCAACGTTCTGTGTTTGTTGGGTTATTGTTTTATTGCAGCCGATCTCTGTTCTGCACTTGCACAAACTGCGTTGCAATGCATATCATTTTCCAAATGTCATTTATGTGAAAATATGAAGTCTGTAAACGCCCGTTAACACAGGCCAGAGACGCTGAAGACGGACGCAAAGAGAAAAATACTGTAGCAGGCAGATCACTCACTGTTCATGATGCACGAACTATTGGAAGAAAATCCTAAATATTGATTTGGGGGTTTATATGAATGTGTTTCTGAGGGGAACTGACTGTCTTCAGAAACGTTTAGATGGTATTTTCTTTTCATCTGGTATAATTCACATTAAAGCAGTGTTTCAGCGCAGCTCTGCTTTGTTTACTGCGATAACCAAGGAAACGCTGTATCAGCGCCTCCTGCTGTCAGAGAGTGAATCTGCGTCCCATTCAGAGCTTCTGCTGTTTGTTTCGTTCAGGCACGTAGTATAATTTCACAAAGCTAGTCAGAACATTCTGTTTTTGCTTCAAATTGGGTTATTATTAAATCAAATTATGTATATGAAATTATATAAATAAATTATATGAAATGATATGTATATGAATTATATAACTAAAATTAAATGTGTAATTACAGATTTAGGTGAAATAAAGATGTCAGTCTTTATTTTTCTTCTTTTTAGGGCAGCAGTAGCTCTAGCAGCAAATCAACCATCCACATCAAAAGCTGCAGGACGGCCCACATTTCAGAAACAAATATTATTTGAAAAAAGATATTTTTGCTTAAGGTTATCATACCGTCAAAATCTCATACCGGCCCATGTCTAGCAGCAATATATTTTTGTTGTGTTGTACGTGGTCAAAACACACTGGGCATCATTTATAGAATGTTGCGCAGAAACCATCCTAAATTTGATCTTACTGCAAGAACAGCTTACATTTCCAAAAACCTGCAGTACTCCGACAAGAAAAAGCGTGTACGTCTGCTCAGACCCTGACGTGACGCTAAGCACTTTTTCAAGTCAGAGGCAGTTTTTACAAATATGAGCATCGGTGTGGATTTAAGCATACGCACACTCTAAGATCAAATTTGTGCGTACACACACTTTATAAATGAGGCCCATTATCTATTGTGCTAACAGGGACATGTATGCTCAAATCTGACCTTTATGTCTCAAACTCATCCCACCACACCCTCTCTCCACTTTCCTGTCTCCTCTCTATTGTCCTCTACCAAAATAAAACAAAAAGAAACATACATCTTTAGTCATAAAACTATAAATATATTCATGTAAATACTGTACAGTGTTTCCCATAAGATATTAGGGTTAACCTCTTTCCCCCCCCGAAAGAAATTTGTACGTTTTAAATGAAAGTGAAATGCATCAATCTGATGTGTTCATTGAAAAAAAAAAAAAAGTAAAAGTGTTTGCATTGACTTTCCAGGACTTTAAAGTAAATTCAAACCACTTTTTAGTTTTCATTCACAATGACGTTTTTTTTAGGATGCCAAAGTACAGCATGCCCAAAAAATAATAGTAATAATAATGCATTTTATGAGTGCCTTCCATAATACTCAACTACAAGTACGGCAAATTAAACATTATAACATGTATAATATAGAGGAATAGTGCAGAAATGCATGTATATCAATTTTATAAATGTTGATGTGCGTACGCTAATAACTGTTTATTTGTGTTTTGTCACTGAACATACTGCCAGACAACTCAAACTCAATCTGAAGATTTATGCATGCTGACAACCACATGCAAACACTTTTTTTTTTTTCCTGCGTCCTCATGTGAGGGTTAAAGTTGACAATGTCCTGTGATGTTTATGTGATTCATCTTCCTTCCTCTTTCTCTTTCTCCCTTTTACTGACCACTGGATTAAATGTTACAATTGGTCTCAGTAGGTTTTAATTACCCCTATTATGCAGTTGAATGAATGAATTAATTGGTGCGTTTCTGTGTGCCTTCAGCCTCTCTGTTCCCCATTGAGATCTCTGCTGTGAGGAGAGACCATGAGTTTCTGGATCAGGACTCTCTCAAGGCATTATGCAGGTGAGAAACCATTACATATTCATTTAAATATTAATTACAGCGCTTTAAAGATATTCCATCCTACCCAATAATCCCCTCTGGTCTGCGTTTCACTTCCTCTGTACCTGGCTGCACTATGACATTCAAGGTAGTATAACACATGATAAAAATTCATAAAGTATACTAATAATAATGTTTATGACATACGTTTAATAATATGAGTCACATGTCATGAGGGGGCATCTGTCATTTTCTATAGTCTTTTAATATCCATCTCTAATCACCATGGCGACAGGCTGTTTGTGTCAGCAGACCTTGCTATGCTTCATTGTTCTGTATGTTTCCTTTTTATTCTTAACTTTATTCTTTTTCTCTTCGCCCCTCAATGTGGAATACGTGATTAAGTGACCGGTCACACCTGCCGAAGTCACATTGGAATGAATGGCCTTTTCTAAAAGATAAGGAATAAACAGAGAGGAGGAAATTATATTTCCCAGGGTGCAACTGGTGTCACTGGTCCTAAGGCGATAGAAGAAGAGAGAGATGGAGATTGAATATACCATTTGTCCCACAGTGGCTTGTTACACACTGTATGCTTGGCTGCTAGCTACTGATAAAAAAAAACATCAGGGTGGCTCGATAAATTAAGAGAACTGAAACACACACACACAGCAAAATGTGAAATAATAGAACTCTAAATTATATGCATGTGCATGCAGTGAAAGAAAACACACTAAATGCGCACACGCACTAGTCTAGACTTCACGTAATGAGCGTAGGGATGTTTTGAATGATTTTGGAAAATACTCGATAATGTCAAATCGCACATCGTTAAAACAACAATTACGATATTATCGCAGACGATATATATCGCACACTCCTAATGTGCATAGTTATCTACATTTAAAGCTGTGAAGAAAATGAAGCTATAGGTGTGTCTCCTAGTGCTGAATTGTTTCCAAAATTTTGTATTCAATGCTAAACTGATATCCTCAACTTATAAACAGCCTTGGGCGCCTGATGGACGAACCTTTTAATAGATTAAATAATTCAACTTCCATAATTTGAATTAATTTCATCATGGTGTTAAGCCTTTTTTAATGTAGAATGTAATATGAAAGACCATCGAATGACAGCTGCAAAAGCATCTGTTGTGTTATTTGGCAGACACTTTTATCCAAAGCGACTAACATTCAGGCAGGGTATACAATATATAAGTACCTTACCCATTACGGTGCAGGGTTCTTGTCTTAAAATGTCTCATAAAAAGTATTAATTATCCTTAAATTGTGTAATAAAATTCTTAATTATAATTTTAAGAGGTCTTGAACTTGGGGTCAGAAAAAGGGGAACCACGATACAGCCTGATGTGATTATTAAACTTCAAAAGGCAATGATTTAATTAAATACATGTGAGCGCTGCACATTTCAAAGTCAAACTGTGCCGCTGTTGCACATTCTACAGTCTTGCGTTTCAGAGCCGTTCACAATAAATTTAATAGCATGCATTTGTGATCTATCATTGATAAATTATGAACATGTTAACTTTATGGATTTCATGTAATATATTGTAGATGGAGATAAAATATGCACTCTTATAACCATGTTTTTGAACCAGGAAGTAGTAAAGCTTTTAAAATGTTGAGGTATATTTCTGGTTTGTTTACAAATCCTGCATTATGCATAAAATATTATTGGTATTGTGGTTATGCAGTATCATTTAATTTAATACAAACTCTTGTAGCTTCTGTCTGGGTTACCCTGTCACTGGAAGGAAAGGCTAAGACCGTTATTTTACACATTAAATATATAGATTTGACTATATGCTGTGCTATATTGGTACAGTAAGTGCCTTTGTTTAAACACAGTATCGCATCAGCAAAATCTAGTGTCACTCGACCTAAAATGTGACCCTGGACCATAAAACCAGTCTTAAGTCGCTGGGGTATATTTGTAGCAATACATACATTGTACCAAAAATACATTGTAAGGGTCAAAATTATTGATTTTTCTTTTATGCCAAAAATCATTAGGACATTAAGTAAAGATCATGTTCCATGAAGATATTTTGTAAATTTCCTACTGTAAATATATCAAAACTTAATTTTTTATTAGTAATATACATTGCTAAGAACTTAATTTGGATAACTTTAAAGGCGATTTTCTCAATATTTAGATTTTTTTGCACCCTCAGATTCCAGATTTTCAAATAGTTGTATCTCGGCCAAATATTGTCCTATCCTAACAAACCATACATCAATGGAAAGCTTATTTATTCAGCCAGATGATGTCTACATCTCAATTTCGAAAAATTGACCCTTATGACTGGTTTTGTGGTCCAGGGTCACAAATGAACATGTATTGATTTATCAGTACATAAACCAATTTCAATATGCATGTATATATTGAATAAAACATGTCTTGAGACTGTGCCCCAGTCTGTTTAATGAAGTCAAAGAATCTGAGATCCATGATTTTGATATTGTATATTTTTGTTTTTTACAAACAAACAGTCTTAAATCACAACCCTAGTGTGTATTAGTATGTTGAATCAAAGTTTTTCCTGGTTAAGGTATTCACTCTTGCAACAGCACTATAAAAATCAGTCTCCCTGTGCAGAATTACTTGTTTTGCTCTGAATATATTCTGGCCGTCTCACACCCGATGACCCTCTTGCATTAGTCAGATGATGAGCTCATCTGTTCGTCTTTCAGCCACAGCAGGTTACTAGTGCACTTAAAAATCCCTGACTGTCTCTCTGTGAATTTGCTCCATACAGAGCCTGTCTCACTGCTTGAGTGAATATGTCAGTGTGGCCATGTTAGCAAATATCTTTGATGAACTAGTCTGCCAAGTATACTTCATCAAAAATGCAGAGATGAAATTTCATGCTGTCAGTCAGCTGTCTACTGGA